GATCTCAGAGGTGGGTAGAGAGTCACGCGCACGGCCAGAGCGAATCGGGCCAGCCCGTCCATTACCTGGCGGGCAGAGCCGCGCTGCGTCGAATGCACAGCCTCACTTCTGGACAGTCGTTTAGTTCCGACACGCACGGAGCCAGCCCATCTGCCACCTCCGCCTCTTCCACTTCCTGCTCCTCCACCATCACCGCCACTGCCTCTGTTCCCGCTTGCCATGCCCACCCTATCTATTACCATCACACCTCCTCCTCTTATATCCTCCAGATGGACTCCATCCCCGACCTACCCCCTCCTGATGTCACCTCGGGGATTCGCTGTCGCACTGAGAGCTTTGGGTACCGCTCTTTCTCTTCTAGCGCCTCTTGAGACCTGCTGCTTGCTGTGGTGTTTTTCCTCCTGGATGCCTGGCACCCTGCCCTTCGGGATAGAATCCTTCCTTGCCTTCTGCAGCTCTTGCTTCCTCAGCCTCTCTCCCGCCTACGCGGCGCCCGCCTGGGATTACTGCGATGGCAGAACTTGGTCTGGTGCCTTATGTGTCACGGCAGTGGCGATTAACCAGCAAGGCGCTGTGGCTTGGGCTGAGAAGTCCCTGCCAGGCTTGTGTTTCTGCATAATTAGCCTGTTGGTTGGGGGGCGCCTGCGGGAAGGAAGGGACCGCGACTAACCAAACACACACTGACCTTGTTTGAAACCGGGGCTCGTCTTTGGCTCCTCCCAAGCAAATTGCAAAGGAAAAGCCCGGCGTGCCTCTGGGTGCTGCTGGCGGCGGGTGCTGACGTGCCCGTTGTGGTCAGGTGCTGACATGCCCAGCAGCATCCAGGGACGCTGAGTTGAGGCTGACGGGCTCCTGTGTACGGCAGAGGGTGGCCGAGTGCTGAGCCTCCCGTCGCTAGGTTCCCACTGTGAGCGGATCCGTGACTAGAACGCAGCGGGGGGTCTGTGGGAAGTGAAGGAGTGGGCTTGTCCTGGGCAGAGCGTCCCAGTGCTGACCAGCAGCTCCATGAGCAGTGTCAGCAGAGGCCTGGGAAATCAATGTCGCCTCCCTCCACAGGGGGGGCCCTGGAGGCTGGCTGAGGCCCAAGGGCCGGGAGCGTGGGCGGACGTTGCGCCTGCCCGTAGCTGGCGGCGGCGGCGGAAGTAGATTCCACCCGACTGCCCCGGCGCCTTCCCCAAGACTGAAAGTCCCAGGAAAAGCCCCTCAGCTTATAACATGGCATCTGCCTGGAGGGCACCTTTTGGGTCAGGGGTTTGAAGGCCCTAGGCCTAGAATCTGCCAATACCAGACGGATTTCCAGCAGGCCCCAGTAGGCCTGACCCTCACGCCCAGCCTCGTGTCCCGGCGCAGCTCTCCATTGATTCCAGGTGCTCTTGAGGGGCCAGGGCAAGCCCTGAGCCCCGGGCGCTAATGGCAGCACTTGGAAAGCCCCAGATACAGACAGGCCAACTGTGTGAAGGCCCTAGGCCTAGAATCTGCCAATACCAGACGGATTTCCAGCAGGCCCCAGTAGGCCTGACCCTCACGCCCAGCCTCGTGTCCCGGCGCAGCTCTCCATTGATTCCAGGTGCTCTTGAGGGGCCAGGGCAAGCCCTGAGCCCCGGGCGCTAATGGCAGCACTTGGAAAGCCCCAGATACAGACAGGCCAACTGTGCATCTCAGACACGCACATTGTGGAGCAGCAAGCCCTAGGAAAATTCATATGGGAGAGAGGCCCTGCCCTTGCTCCGGGGGT